AGTAATAAGTGGCAGTGTCCTCAGATCTCACACTGCTCATTTGCAGGTACAGTGTGTTCTTGCCATTGTCTCTGGAGATGGTGAATCTGTCCTTCAGGGATGGTGCATACCTGATGGTACTGCTATCTTGATTAATTACTCCAACCCACTCCAGCCCCTTCCCTGGAGCCTGTCTGAACCAACCCATCCAGTAGTCACTGAATGTGAATCCAGAGGCTGCACAGGAGAGTCTCAGGGATCCCCCAGGCTGTATCAGGCCACCCCCAGACTCCACCAGCTGCACCTCACACTGAACACCTGCAAAAACAGAGAATACTGTTAGGCAACTGCCATAAAGACTCACTATGATTCCTTCTCATGTCCAATAACATATTCAGTATCTCTGTTACTCCACAAATTACCTTTTAAAAGAGCAATAAGGAAAAGCCACATCAGCCCCAAGTCCATGGTGTGGTCTGTGTTCAGTGCTGATCACTGAATGGGTAGACTTGGGAATCCCGGGCTGATCGCTTTTGCCTGAGCTTCAGGATCAGTGCTGGCCTGGTTTTCAAGAGAAGAGAGAAACCTTATTTGCATATCTTCTTGCTATATAACAAGTGTTGTAGCTGGTCCTGAGAGATGGAATGTTCTATTTTCTTAGTGTCCTCGGGGAGTCTGGTAATAAAGATAATGATAGGAAAATTTTATATATGATACTAAACTATTTTTTTTGGCACACAATTAGTGTCATCTATTTCACAAACAAAAGCTGCATTTTACAGTTAATTTCAGCCCAATTCTTCATGTCCTCTTATAAATGGTAATAGACATTGCTTTGTTACACGCTCTGGAGCTCTTATGTCTTACTGTGTGGACTTCAACACTGATGTACATAGCACTGCCTTAGTCAGCTCCTATGCTAAGTGTCACTGACTCATGATTATGGGAACTCCCTTTCATTTTATTTATTAGTTCATTTTTCATTTATTTTACATAGCAACCAGAGTCTCCCCTCCCTCCTCTCTTGCCTTTCCCTCCCCAGCCTCCCTTCTACCACCATCCACTGCTCCATACAGAAAGGTGCTGGCTACCCATGGGAGTCAACAATGCCTGGCATATCAATTTGAGGCAGGGCTAATCTACTCTCCCTGCATCAAGGCTGGGCAAGGAATCCCGGTATGGGGGATGGGAGAACTCCCTTTCTCTGCTGAGATAATGTGACATGACTTAATTCCTGTATTCATCTAGAATACTTGAGAAGCCTTGTCCAGATGTAAGGCAATCTTACAAAAAAATCTTAAAAGAATCACAAATGAAAATTTTATATGTGAAAACAATAATTCATTTTTACTTTAAATCCCCCTGGTATATACCTACTCATCAACAGTTTTTTTTTTTTAAATTAATCTTATCAGTAAGCTGAGGGAAGAAATGGGTGCAAGGAATTAAAAAATCTCCTATAATCCCCATCTTATTCTAGTAAGAAAGGCATGTCAGATAGTAATAATCAACTATCTTTGTTCTTGTTTCTTGACCTCAACAATTCCCTCACTCATCTCTTAAAAGTCTCACTTTCTTCACTTTAAAGCCAGGATTTTCTACATGGAAGTCTTTAACAAAATCATCTTAACTTTACAAGCAATCTACATGTCTAAAGACTTTCTAAGGGTGGCAGTTGAATCATTAATCTGCTCTAGTAGCAATGCTTAGAAAAAGTCTATCACTATTATTGTAAGTACAAGTCACACTGCACAGTGAGGTGATAGAAAACCCCTTTGAGTTTTCATACAACTCATAGATTAGGAGGGATGTGGAGGCCATGAGAGGAATAAGCAGAGCTTAGCTCAATAACAGCATGAGGTCCTGTGGACATGTAGTCCTTGGGGCTCCGCCTCTCCAAGGCTCACCTGAGGAAGCTTTACTGGCCACCAAGCCATGTTCCAATGCTTCCTGTTGTTCCTCGTGCCTGGCAGTTGACAGTTCATGCTGTCACAGCCTCTGTGAGATCATGTGTGCATCTGCCATGGTGTGTTCGAAAAACATGGTTTCCTTGATGCTGTCTACAAATTTTGGTTCTGACAATCATTATACCCCCTCCTCTGCATAGGTCAATGAGCACTGAAGGGAGGGGTGTGACAAAGACAGCCCATTTAGGAATGAACATGCCAATGGTCATTGAGTTGTGGGTTTCATGTTGTTATTCTTAAACATAGCAAGATACTAACACAGACATTTGGAGGGCTGGCTAACATTTACTGTTAACTTCAAGTTCTGTAACAAGTTTTGCCCCTGTAATATGATATCAAGATGAAATATCTTCTTTCAGCTCCCATAAGTTGAATCTATACACACTGTGGACTATTAAATCTTATAAAAAAAACACTTTTTATGAACAGATTTGGTCCACCTGCCGAGACCCTCCTCCTTCATTGTGGCTCATGTCCTGCTGTCGCTGAGAAGAACTGTCACCTTGTCTTCCAGCCAACATATTGCTCATAGCTTAGTAATTGACCAAACTGAAGTATCTTCAGGGAATGGGGCTGTGTTAATTTGAATGAGAATGAACCCCCCACACACACACTCACATACACATAGGCTCATAGGTTTGAATACTTGGTTCACACTTGGTAGAACTGTTTAGGAAGGATTAGAAACTGTGGCCATGTTGGATAAAGTTTGTCATTTGGGAATTTTTTGAGGATTCTAAAGACTCATGCTATTTTAGGGACTTCTGCTTCCTTATTATAAATAAAGCTGTAAGACCTTAGCAGCTGCTCTAGCGACCTCTCTTTATTCAGCATTCATGCACTCTGAGGCTCTGAGGCTGTAAACCTAACTAAATGTTTTTTCTTTAATTTACTGTGATCATTGTGTTTTATCACGGCAATAGAAAAGTAAATAAGACAGATGTGCATATTATTATGCAGGGGAAGTGGAACTCTGCAAAAAAAATAAGGTTGGGATTCCATTGGCTCTTAGAGAAATGAGCTTCCTCTGTCAGTGATGAGATTTCACCTCATTGACCCAGTGTGGTCCATGATGGATTCAGATAAAAATGGAATAGAGTGTGATTTTTGATTTTCTAGGTAGGGTGATTAAAATAGTCCAGCTGTGGATGAGGGCAGGGTCTGAAGATGGGTGGATGCAATAGTGGTGGCAAGAGAATTCAGACACAGGCCACTTCTTAGTTTCCTTTTAGGAGAGAAGGACAGAGAGGAAGTGCATCTCTGCATGGCTGTCCTACTCTGACAGGAGCCATCCATGGTGGGACCAGTCTTAGCAGAGGATGTAGGCTAGTTGGTGAGGAAAGGAGGTGAGCCATTCCACAGTGGTCCTGAGAATCATTCAGCCTGACTGACTAACAGCCAAAGTACTTCTTTATTCATACAGAATTTAGTAAGCAGGGATACATTCATGATGTTCCAAAATATAGATCATATAAATTTGTTTTGGGACACGTGTTTCACTTGATTTTGCTCATCTTCTAGTTATCATTAATAAACTATGACAGAACAGAGTTAACATTTCCAATCATTTTCCCTCAAGTTTTGACATCATTGATAAAGAGTTATCATTTTTACTTATTAGCCATATAACCCAAGTTTTAAGAATCTAGAGGCAAATGACAGTCTACTTTCAAGCTGATAGCTTTTGTAGCTGCAAGGACACTAGACCAAAACAAAATATTCTAGCCAACTCAGGCATAGTGCCATGTCCCAGTCAGTGTATTATTAACTGTTAATGGTAAGAGTACCCAACACAAGCCCTCAGGGTAAAGCTGCAGCAGTTGTTTTTCAAATTCTGCCATAATACAATGTTATTCCTAACATTCTGTTGTTTCTTGGTCATATGACGCCACAGTAGCTCTATATGTGCTAAATTTTCTAAGAGAGGGAGGTCCTGACATTTCATTTTTTTATCTTGTTTGACTTCATTCTTTATTCATCATTGTAACTCTCTGTGTAGGCTGAGGCAACTTCAGATATTCTAACTTGTTGATGTATATGCCACATTATTGTGTGAGTTTATATAGGAAGAGACTTGCAATCTGATCCATGGCCAAGTCCTCCAGTCCACTGAATCTGGTTAACTTTCTAAAGTTTACTTTGTTTTGAATATTTTGTTCATGAGCAAAAATATGGACAGGGGTCTTATGTGTCACAAACTCCATTGCATGAGGAAGACCTTCAAGTAGATAAGGGTATCTCCCAAAAAGTAGGAGGGTTAGTATGTTCAGGACTGTCCTGGGGAAGCTAAGAAGGAGTATTTCTTGTAGAAGGCATAAATGATTCATAAGAAAATTTCCATCAATCCAATATCCCCAAAATGTACAAATAATAAATGATTGCAAAGTTTGCAAAAGGTGGTGATGAAAACCACAGGAGACACAGAGGGCATCACGTGGCTCAGCTTTGCCAGATCTTTGTCAAGCAGCTGTGATGGCTTTATGACTTCTTCCTTTCACACCAGATATGGCTGTGTCAGGAGATTTCACTTCTCATGATGTTTGATTGAAAGGATCAGTTTCTACAAATTTCCATGATGAGCAGAGATGAAATCTGTGGAATAATAAACTGAATTAGCTAAAAGCACAGCTGTGTCTCTTCTGAACTTGAAGTGCGCAGTCCTCAGGAAGAAGAGGGGAGGTTCCAGACCTGCTAGGATTTATGATCTAAGGATCATAATGTTCACCCCAATTTCCTCTTGGTTTTCTCTAAACCTACATTCTGTTCTAATCAAAAAATCTGACCAAAGCTCTGCCTTCAATATGTAAAGACTCGGGAATGGCCATGGATTTTCTTTCTATGAAATTCTAGTGAGCAAATTAGGGCACTTCATCTTCTCAAAGCTGTCAGTTGGCATTTTGTTCATGGGATATTATGCTTAACTTTTTTTTAAATAATAGAAGGAGAACATGTAATGTGTGAGGACATTGGATCCCTTCAGAACATGTATATAGAGAGAATTTCAGGGAAACTGTAATAAAAATTGCAGCCAGATACCTGAGAAGAGTGCCTAATCTAACTGGTCTGCATAAACTCCTGGGCTGAACCTGTTTTCTGTGTGCTGTGCGCCCCCTGGTGGCCCTGAGCAGCCTCACAGTGAGGTTTATGTCTGTGTTTACACTTAAGTCCTTTCACTGTGTATCTACCACAGTAATAAGTGGCAGTGTCCTCAGATCTCACACTGCTCATTTGCAGGTACAGAGTGTTCTTGGCATTGTCTCTGGAGATGGTGAATCGGTCCTTCAGAGATGGTGCATAGTTGATTGAACTGCTATCTTTGTTAATTTCTCCAATCCATTCCAGCCCCTTCCCAGGAGCTTGTCTGATCCAGTTCATCCAGGAGTTACTGAATGTGAATCCAGAGGCTGCACAGGAGAGTCTCAGGGATCCCCCAGGCTGTATCAGGCCACCCCCAGACTCCACCAGCTGCACTTCACACTGGACACCTGCAAAAAAACAGAGAATCCTGTCAGTAAACTGCCATAAAGATTCACTGTGATTTCTGCTCATGTCCACTAACACACTCAGTATCTCTGCTTCTCCATAAATTACCTTTTAAAAGAGCAACAAAGAAAAGCCACATCAGCCCCAAATCCATGGTGTGGTCTATGTTCAGTGCTGATCACTGAGTGGAGAGACCTGGGAATCCAGGGCTGATTGCTTTTGCCTGAGTTTCAGGGTCAGTGCTGGCCTGGTTTTCAAGAGAAGAGAGAGGCCTTATTTGCATGTCTTCGTGCTATATAACAAATTTTGTAGCTGGACCTGAGAGATGGCATGTTCTATTTTCTAAATGTCCTGGGGAAGTCTGATAATAAAGATAATGGTAGGAAATTTTTTTATATGATACTAAGTTATAAATGTTAGTAGACACTGCTTTGTGACATGCTCTGGAGCTCTTCTGTTTATTGTGCTGACTTCAACACTGATGTACTTAGCACTGCCTTAGTCAGCTCCAGTGCTAAGTGTCAATGCCTCATGATATGGGGAACTCCCTTTCATTTTATTTATTAATTTATTATTTTTTCACATATTATACAAACCCACCACAGTCTCCCTTCACTCCTCTCTTCCCGTTCCCTTCCCAGCCTCGCGTGCACTATCATCCACTTCTCCATACAGAAAGGTGCTGGCTACCCATGGGAGTCAACAATACCTGGCATATCAAGTTGAGGCAGGGCTAGTCTCCTCTCCCCACATCAAGGCTGGGCAAGTAATCCCAGCATGGAGGATGGGAGAACTCCCTTTCTGTGTTGAATTCATATGACAGACCTTAATTTCTGTGTTCATCTAGGAAACTTGAGATGCTTGTCCAGATTTGTGTGTGTGTAGGAGTGTGAAATTCTTGTGTTATTAGCTTTGTAAGTTCCTGTCTCCCTGCACATTTACCTATTTGTTCACTAGTAATGGAGAGACCAATACACTGAACTTCTATGTATAGCTCAGCCTTTGATTTCCACATGCCCTCCACATGTGAGAGAACAGATTGAACCTCAGTAAGTTACACCAAGTGAGATAACTCAGGCACATGAAGACAAATGCTGCCTGTCTTGAGTACCATGGAGTTTGAAAAGCTGGACATCCCTCAATGGAGAGCATTGTTCTGTTTCACAGAGGCTGAGGAGGGAAAGGGAGGTGATATGGAAGACCACAGGTCCCAGTTTTGCAGTACAGATGATAAAGGTGGGATTTGTATTTCAAATATGTTTAATTGTACATACTACCTTTTTGAACCAGAAATAATGGTGAGACTGCATGTTAATTGGTTTCATTTCTGTTTCCACACTGTGTTCATAAATTAAACAAAAGATAACTAATTTATATATGAAATAATTATTTGCTAGTTAATGACTTTTAAAATCAAATATTTTAAAAAAGTGATAGTGTGGAAAATCCTTGTTGATATCTACTGTATCTTCTCATGATTATACTTGAACAGAATACATGAAAATGACTACTGAATTGATAGTACATGTGTCCTGAGCACATGACCATGTTGGTTTTCTTGTTTTGTTAGTTTAAATTAATTTGTTAAAGTATTTCTGTCTTAACACTTTACAGATTTTTCACTACTTCTCCATCTTTCCACTTTCATGTTCTTTCTCTCACTTAGCAGTAAAAACAGAAATAGGAAAAACCACAAAATCATCCAATGCAGTCCATGATGTTTTGTTAAATTCCTGATAATGGGGCTTTGCCTGTAGTGCGGTTGACATACCTGGTGTGACTCCACTATAGAAAACTGACTTTCTTCCAGTGCTGTCAATAGTGTATGGCTTCATTACTTACAGTGAGACTTGTGCCCACTTCCCCTCCTCCATGTATGGATTTGGTCTGGCTTTCACATCTGTAGGTCTTGTTATGCTGCTGTGAAGACCATCTTTCAAAAGTTCAGGAAGTGAACAAGAGGAGTGGAATTGACAAACTAATAACTCAATTGACTTTTTAATTTTTTTAAAGATTTATTTATTTATTATGTATACAGTATTCTGCCTGTATGTATCCATGCAGCCCAGAAGAGGGCATTAGATCTCATTACAAGTGGTTGTGAGCTGCCATGTGGTTGCTGGGAATTGAACTCAGGACCTCTGGAAGAGCAGTTGGGGCTCTTAACCACTGAGCCATCTCTCCAGCCCAACTTTTTAATTTTCTTAATTAAAAGTTTTTTTCTTTCATTTTACGCACCAATCAAAGAATCCCTGTTTCCTCATCCTTCTCCTCCAGCTTTCCCCTCCCAACCCAACCCCCACTCACCTCCACAAAAAGGCAAGGCCTCTCATGGGAAGGCACATCCAGTAGAGGCAATTCCATGCACTTCCACCTGCCTCAAGTCTGCACAAGGAGTCCCATCATAGGTAGTGGACTCCAATAATCCTGCTCATGCACCAGGGATAGATTCTGACCCTAACGCCAGGGAGCCTCCCAAGAAGATCAAGCTATACAATTGTCTCACCATGCAGAGGGCCTAGTATAGTCCCATGCTGGCTCTACAGCCATTGATCCAACTTTCATGAGTTCCTACTAGTTTGGTTTGGTTGTCTCTACAGGTTTCGTCATCATGATCTTGATGCACCAGCTCATAGAATTCCTCTTCTCTCTCTTTGACTGTACTCCTGAAGCTCTGCGTGGTGCTTGGCTGTGGATCTCTTCATCTGTTTTAATCAGTCATTAGAAAGAGGCTCTGTGATGACAGTTAATGTATTCACTGATCTGACCACTGGGGTAAGAGAGTTCAGTTCAAGCAACCTCTCCACTATTTTTATTAGTCCAACCTGGGGTCATCCTTGGGGATTCCTTGCAACCTCCCTAGCACCGGATTTCACTCTATCCCCATGATATCTCCCTCTATCATGGTATCTCTTTCATTGCCCTCCAACTCTATCCCTGTTCCAGGTTGTAAATCCCATTTTCCTATGTTCTCATCTTGCATCCTCTACACTCCACTGTCCACCCCTCATTCCAAGATTACTCATGTAGATCTCATCTATTTCCCTCTCCCAATGCAATCCATGCATGCCTCTTTGGGTCTTCCTTGGTAGCTAGCTCCTCTGGCATTGTGGATTGTTATCTGGGTATCCTTTGCTATACATCTAATATCCACTTATGAGTGGGTACATACCCTGTTTGTACTTCTGTGTCTGTTTTACTTCTCTCAAGATGATATTTTTTCTTTCCATTCATTTGCCTGAGAATTTCATGATGACATAGTTTTGTCTGCTGAGTAGTACTCCATTGTGTATACATACCACATTTTCTTAATCAGTTCTTCAGTTGAATGGCATCAAAGTTTTTTCCAGTTTCTGGCTATTATGAATAATGCTGCTATGAACATAGATGAGCATGTGTCCCTGTGGTATGATTGAGCATTCGTCTGGTATCTGTCCAAGAATGATATAGCTGGGTCTTATGGAATATTTATTCCCAATTTTCTGAGAAAACTCCACACTGATTTCCAAAGTGGCTGTATAAGTTTGCTCTCCCACCAACATTTGAGGATTGCTCCCCTTGCTCAACATCCTCTCCAACTTAAGCTGTCTGCAGAGTTTTTTTAACTTAGCCATTCTGACAAGCCTAAGATGGTATCTCAGACTTGTTTTGAATTTTTAAATAAAGGACTAAAACTTAACTCTCTGGGCCAGTGAAAGAGGGAAAAACACACAGAGGGACACTTCTTCAGGACCCCTCTATATTCTTCTGCCTTCCGTTTTTCCTTTTCTGCTTATATGCCTCAGCACAGTCTTTCAGAGGTTATAAATATTACAACATGACTTCTTTATGTTTTTTAAGTGAATGATTATAACAAATACAGGTAAAAAACAATATATTTCTCATTTTCCTTATATGATTTAACCTTTTATATATAACAGGGGAAAATCAAATTTTCCCAAAGAATCCACATACATCCACATCTAAGCAACTTGTTATATATTAATAACACTTAAGTCATCAAGATATGTTTTTCAGCTAGTTCTTTTACCTGCACTCTACACTTTGCAATTACAAGAATGGATCAATCATTTTATTTTTAATTACAAAAGGGAATCTTACATAATATTCTTAAAAGAATCACAAATAAAAACTCTTACATATGAAAACAATCATTCATTTCTACTTTAAATCCTCCTAGTATATACCCACTAATCAACAGGTTTTTTGTTATTAAATCCTATTAGAATCCTGAGGGAATAAATGGGTACAAGGAATTAAAAATCTTCTTTGATCCCCAACCTATTCTAGCAAAAAAGGCATATCAGATATTAATAATCTACTGCCTTTGTTCTTGTTTCTTGTCCTCAACAATTATCTCACTCAACTCTTAAAAGTCTGACTTTCTAAACTGTAAAGCCCAGATTTTGTACAAGACAGCCATTAACAAAAACATCTTAACATAACTTTACAAGCAATCCACATGTCTACATACTTTCTAAGGGTGGTGGTTGAATCATTAATCTGCTCTAGTAGCAGTGGTTGGAAAACTTCAATCACTGTTATTCTAAGTACAAGTCACACTGCACAATGAGGTGCTAGAAACCCACTTTAAGTTTTCATACAACTTATAGATTAAGAGGGATGTGGTAGCCATGAGAGCTATAAGCAGAGCTATGCTCAATAACAGCATGAGGTCCTGTAGACATGTAGTTCTTGGGGCTCCACCTCTCCAAGTCTCACCTGTGGAAGCTTTGCTGCCAACTGTAGCATGAACCTTAAAAGTTCTTATTAATAAAATCAAACCCGAGGCCAGTTATTGGGGTGAATACTGGAAGGTCAGAGAGACAGAACAAGCCACAGCTATCTCACCTCACCAGTTCCTCAGCTGGTCCTGTTTCCTCAGACTGGAAGCCTCTGAATCCTCATCCAGAATTAATCCCAGCTGAACTGTGCTACTTCAAAGCCTGAAAGCTTAACCAGCCGAATGCTTAACCAGCCACATGCTTAACCAGCCAAATGCTTCTAGTTTCTGGTCCTCACGCCTTATATACCTTTCTGCTTTCTACCATCACTTTCTAGGTTTAAAGGCTTGCTTTCTGGGATTAAAGGCGTGAGTCACCATGCCTGGCTGTTTCCAATGTGGCCTTGAACTCACAGAGATCCCAGATGGATTTCTGCCTCTGGAATGCTAGGATTAAAGGCATGTGCTATCACTGCCTAACTAGTGGCTTTTCTGTTCTCTGACCCGAGATAAGTTTATTAAAGTACACAATATTTTGGGGAACACAATACCACCACAGCCAACCAAGCCATGTTCTATGAGTTCCAATGCTGCCTGTTGTTCCTCTTGCCTGGCTGTTGACAGTTCATGTTATCACAGTCTTTGTGAGTTCATGTGTGCATCTGCCATGCTGTGTTCTAAAAACACACTTTCCTTGATGTTATCCACAAATTGTGGTTCTGACAATCATTATACCCCCTCCTCTGCATAGATCCATGAGCTCTGAAGGGAGGGGTGTGAAAAGACAGACCATTTAGGAATGGACATGCCAAAAGGTCATTGAGTTGTGGGTTTCATATTGTTATTCTTAAACATAGCAGGATACTGAAACAGAGCTTTTGGAGAGCTGGCTAACCTCTATTGTCAACTTCAAGTTCTGTAACATGATCCTCTCCCTGTAATATGATCTCATTATAAAATAGCATCTTTCAGTTTCCGCAAGTTGACTTTTGTGGGACCTTCTCCTATACACACTATGGAACATAAAATCTGATACAAAACGACTTTTTAAGGACAGACCTTAGTCCACCTGTCTCAAGCCTCCTATATCCAGCTAACATTGTGGCTCAGGTCCTGCTGTCCCTGAGAAGAACTGTCACCTTCTCCTCCAGCCCACATATTGCTTATAGCTTACTAAGTGCCCAAACAGCAGTCCCTTCAGGGACTGTGACTGTGTTACTTTGAATGAGAATGCCCTCCCTACCCCATGCCACACACATATAGGCTCATAGGTTTGAATACTTGGTTCATTCTTGGTGGAACTGTTTAGGGAGGTTTAGAAAGTGTGGCCTTGTTGGGAATGTTTTTGAGGTTTCTAAAGACTCATGCTATTTTAGGGACTTCTATTTCCTGGTTATCAATCAAGTAGTAAGCCCTCAGCAACTGCTCCAGCCACCTGTCTTTATTCAACCATCATCTACTTTAAAGGCTCTGAGGCTATAAGCCTAATTAAATGATTTCTCATTAATTTGCTGTGATCATAGTGTTTTCACAGAGCAATAGAAAAGTAAATAAGACAGATATGCTTATTATATTGCAGGGTAAGGGGAACTCTGCAAAATATAAAGTTGGAATTTCTTTGGCTCTAAGAGAAATGAGCTAGCTCTGTCAGTGATGAGATTTCACTCATAGACCCAATGTGATCCATGATGGATTCAGATAACAATGGAAAATTGTTTGATTTTGATTTTCTAGGTAGGGTGATTACAATAGTCCAGGTCTGGATGAGGATAGAGTCTGAAGATGGGTGGATGCAAGAGTTCCAACAAGAGAAATCAGACATATGACACTTCTTAGTTTCATTTTTAGGAGAGATGAACAGAGAGAAAATGCATCTTGCATGGCTGTTCTACTATAAAGGAGCCATCCTTGGTGGGACCAGTCTTAGCAGAGGATGTAGGGAGTTGGTGAGGAAAGGAGGTAAGTCAGACCACGGTGGACCTGAGAATTGTTCATCCTCACTGACCAACAGCCATAGTACTTTCTTATTCATACAGAATTTAGTAAGCAAAGATACATTCATGATGTTCTAAAATATAGATCATATCATTTTTGTTTTGGTACCTCTATTTCACTTCATTTTGCTCATCTTTTAGTCGTCATTAATAAGCTATGACAGAACAGAATTATCAATTCAAATCACTTTCCCTCAAGTTTTAACATCGATAAAGTTATCATTTTTACTCATCAGCCATATAATCCAAGTTTTAAGACTCAAGAGGAAAATGACAGTCTGTTTTCAAGCTGATAGCTTTTGTAGCTAAAAGGACACTAGACCAAAACAAAATTTTCTAGCCAACCTAGGCATAATGCCAAGTCCCAGTCAGTGTATTATTAATTCTTATATTTTTGGTTGTGAGCCAAGCCTTTAACGGCTGAGCCATCTCTCCAGCCCATATTATTAATTCTTTTTTTTTTTTTAGTAAATTTATTTTACAACATCATTTAGTTCAACATAATAGCCACAGATTCCCCTGTTCTCCCACTCTCGCCCCCCTCCCTCTCCCTCCACCCCACCCCCCATTCCCACCTCCTCCAGATCAAGATCTCCCCCGAGGACCGGGATCGACCTGGTAGACTCAGTCCAGCCAGGTCCAGTCCCCCCCTCCCAGACCGAGCCAAGCGTCCCTGCATAGGTCCCAGGATTCAAACAGCCAACTCATGCAACGAGCCCAGGACCCGGCACCAACACACAGCTGCCTCCCAAACAGATCAAGCCAAATGACTGTCTCACCCGTTCAGGGGGCCTGATCCAGTTGGGTTAAAAGTGCCCAAGAAAAATCCACAGGCTAAAGCTGCTGCAGTTGTTTTTCAAATTCTGACATAATACAATGTTATTCCTAGCATTCTGTAGTTCGTTCGTCATATCTCACCACAGTGACTCTGTATGTGCTAACTTTTCTAAAAAAGGGAGGTCCTGATATTTTATTTTTTATCGTTGTTCCACTTGATTCTTTGCTCATCAACATACTTCTCTGTGTAGAGTTGAGGTAACTCCAGCTAATCTGACCTGTTGCTGGGCATGCCACATGATTGTCTGAGTACATACAGGAAGAGACTTGCAATGTGATCTGTTGCCAAGTCCTCTAGCCCACTGAATCTTGATTCCTTTTTAAAGTTTATTTGTTTTGAATATTGGGTTCATGAGTAAAAATAGGGACAAATGTCTTTATGTGTCACAACCTCCAATGAATAAGGAAGACCTTCAAGTAGATAAGGGTATCTCCCCAAAAGCAGGAGGGTAGTATGTTCAGGACTGTCCTGGGGAAACATAGAAGCAGTACTCATGGGAGAAGGCATAAATGATTCATAAGAAATTTTCCATCAATCCAATATCCCCAAATTGTACAAATATTAAAAGTTTCCCAAGTTTGCAAAAGGTGGTGATAAAAACCACAGGAGGCACAGAGGGCATCATGAAGCTCGCTTTGCTAGATCTTTGTCAAGCAGCTATGATGGCTGTATGAATTCTGCCTTTCCCACCAGATATGGGTGTGCCAGGAGATCTCAATTCTCATGATGTTTGATGGAAAGTATCAGTTTCTACAAATTTATATGATAAACTGAGATGAAATCTGTGGAATAAAAAGCTGAATTAGCTAGAAGTACAGCTGTGTCTCATCTGACCTTAAAGTGCACAGTCCTCAGGAAGAAGAGGGGAGGTTCTAGACCTGCTAGGATTTATCATTTAAGGATCATAATGTTCACCCCATTTTTCTTTGGTTTTTAATTAAACCTACCTTCTATTCTAATAAAAAAAATGTGATCAAGGTTCTGCCTGGAATATGAAAAGACTCAGAATGTCCATGGATTTTCTTTCTATGGAATTCTAGTGAGCAAAGTGGGGTACTTTATGTTCTCAAAGCTGTCAGTTGGCATTTTGTTCATGGGATATTGTGGCTCAAATTTTTTAAATAATACAAGGAGAACATGTGATGTGTGAGGACATTGGATCCCTTCAGAACATGTATGTACAAAGAATTTCAGGGAAACTAAGAAAAGTGTAGCCCAGCCACCTGAGAGGATTGCCCAATCTAATCTTGTCTGCATAAACACCTGGGGTGAATCTGTTTTCTGTGTGCTGTGCGCCCCCTGGTGGCCCTGATCAGCATCACAGTGAAGTTTATGTCTGGATTTTCACTGAAGTCCCCTCACCGTGTCTCTTGCACAGTAATAAGTGGCAGTGTCCTCAGATCTCACACTGCTCATTTGCAGGTACAGAGTGTTCTTGGCATTGTCTCTGGAGATGGTGAATCGTTCCTTCAGGGATGGTGAATAGTTGATTGTACCACTACTCGGGCTAATTTCTCCAACCCACTCTAGCCCCTTCCCTGGAGCCTGCCGGATCCAGTTCATCCAGTAGTTACTGAATGTGAATCCAGAGGCTGCACAGGAGAGTCTCAGGGATCCCCCAGGCTGTTTCAGGCCACCACCAGACTCCACCAGCTGCCCTTCACACTGCACACCTGCAAAATACAGAGAATCCTGTCAGTAAAATGTCATAAAGATTCACTGTAATTTCTGTTCATGTACACTAACATACTCAGTATCTCTGTTTCTCCATAAATTACCTTTTAAAAGAGCAACAAAGAAAATCCACATCAGCCGCAAATCCATGGTGTGGTCTATGTTCAGTGCTGATCACTGAGTGGGGAGACCTGGGAATCCAGGGCTGATTCCTTTTGCCTGAGCTTCAGGGTCAGTGCTGGCCTGGTTTTCAAGAGAAGAGAGAGGCCTTATTTGCATGTCTTCTTGCTATATAACAAGTTTTGTAGCTGGCCCTGAGAGATGGCATGTTCTGTTTTCTAAATGTGCTGGGGGAGTCTGGTAATAAAGATAATGGTATGAAAGTGTTGTATGTGATACTAAGTTATTTTTTCTTGGCACACACTTAGTATCGTATGTTTCATTTAATACTCACAAACAAAAGACACATTTTACGGTTAATTTCATCCCAATTCTTCAAGTCCACTTATCAGTGGTAGTAGACATTGCTTTGTGACATGCTCTGGAGCTCTTCTGTTTACTGTGTGGACTTCAACACTGATGTACTTAGCACTGCCTTAGTCTGCTCCAGTGCTAAGTGTCATTGCCTCATGATTTTGGGAACTCCCTTCTTTTGATTTATTAATTTTTTTCATTTATTATACAAACCAACCAGAGTCTCCCCTCTCTCCTCTCTTCCCTTTCCTTCCCCAGACTCCCTTCTACCATCATCCACTTCTCCATACAGAACAGTGCTGGATACCCATGAGAGTCAACAATTCCTGTCATAAACAGTTGAGGCAGGGCTAGTCTCCTCCCCCTGCATCAAGGTTGGGCAAGTAATCCCAGCATGGGGGATGGTAGAACTTCCTTTTGGTGTTGAGATGCAACATGACAAAATTCCATTGTTCATCTTAAAAATTGAAGGGGCTTGTCCAGATTTGTGTGTGTCTAGGATTGTGAAATTCTTGTGTTATTACCTATGTAAGTTCTCTTCTCCCTGCACATATACCTATTTGTTCACTAGAAATTGAGTGACTGATAAACTGAACTTCAGTGTATAGTTCAGCAATTGATTTCTACATGTCCCCCACTTGTGTCCACACAAGAATCCCAGAAGGGTGGCCTCACTCCCACCACCCCTGATCTTGGTCATTCTGAATCATCTTATTTCACGTCCTAACTCAGGCACTTATCATTCTTGATCGTACTTGTAGTCCCTCAGCTTGATTGTCACTATTTAGAGGTCATGGAATTTAGACACATGGGATGCACTTCTGTTTGCTTTCTCATACAGCAAAACCATGAATGACACCAATACCAGGTTGCTTTGTGTCCATCCTTCACTTTTTAATGTTTACTGATATGAGGACAGGACAATTGAACAATAGGTTTTATCTCTTAGTTTACTGATTCAATTTGAATGTACTTCAGTTTCCAGCACTGTGGATAAAACAGCTGAGCTTTGGGATATCATTGGAAACAGTGTTGTTCTCACTCTTAAACAAGGAGAGCAAAGTAGACCAGACTGCAGGTCAGCTCATCTAAATTTGCACAGGACAGGGACTGAGGAGGAATTTTAGTTTAGAAAATTTCTGTACGCAGCATCATGAAACTTTGAAGCATGGAGCAACTGAACCCTGTGGAAGGAAAGCCATCTGGAAGACAGAGTAAAAGAGAAGGTTCAGGAAGATTTCATCCACAATGGGCACCATTCATCACCATTAGTCCAAGGTCATCTGGGATGCAAACTCAAGATGATTCAATCTGTAATTCCACATCTTTATAATACAAATAGAAAAAGAGTTAAAGAAACAAATAGGAGAGATGTGAGGGCAGAAGGAAGACTAGGTTTCAAATTTAATGCATTTGAAAACCATTATGTAAATGAAAACACAAGGTGCATATGAAAATTTCAGGCCTAGGTATCTGAAAAGAAATCAACTTGATAGTAAGCACCTAATCTCAAACCCAGGAATCTAAGAAGGATACAAAGAGGTCACACACACACACAAACACACACACACACACACACACACACAAACAGATTAATAAAAAAATGAAACTGTAATTAAGGTAGAAAAGAGAAAACATTAACAATAACCACATCTTATATATCTTATATTTTATACTATCAAAAGTAAATAGATAAAATTAGGAGGAAGTACTATTACATCTGTAATGCAAGCAATATCTTAGGAGATGTGAGACGAATTAAGATAAAATCAGATAGCTTACTATAACTGTAAGCATCAGGACACAGTGAAATTGCCAAATAAGGAATTATTGAATAATTGATTAAAGGACATGCATTGTAGCAATCTAAACTATAACAAGTATTGGTGGAAAAAAGTGAAAAAAGAAGAAAGAAAATGGAAATAAGCAGCTGGAGGCTTCATTATCTTGCAAAGTTACATCTGTATAATTTTCTGGATGAGTCATTGAACAACAGGTAAAAAGTTATCAAATTAATTGTATGAAAAAATATAAAAATTCAAGTATGTATTTTTTCAAAGAAATTTTTTTAATTAATAAAAAGTAAGAATAAAATATTAGGAAGTTAAATATTATAGTGAAAATGCAAACCAAAAAGAGATTTTAGTGTCTATACTGATTTCAGTTAAAGATGATATCATCGGGGAAAATCATTAGCAAGCTACATGGATTATTTCATATTATACAGACATCTGCTGTGCCAAGGAGCAAAACGTCTTACAATGGTTCTCAGGCAGGAAATGAGCCAACCACCCTCAGACCTCGGGGTATCTGCAGTGTGCAGAGGTAACAGACTGGGCAGAGATCATTTAGGAGGCCATGAATTAGAATATGGCCACAAAACAGCAAGGTGTACTAGGGGTAGGACTCTCATCTAATGCAATAGGACATGGGGGCTGTAAGCCCATTGTCTGTAGGAGACAGAATGTGAAAGGAACTGGTAAATTTAAATAAAACCTGCAGTGTTTTAAAGATAGAGGCAGTGAATCAAATGTACATGGCATATGCCATGTACATTTATTGAGAAGGGAGCACAGGACACACTTGGAGATTTGTGTGACCAGATGTTTCTCTCACACTTTTTTGTTGTTTTTTGTTTGTTTGTTTTTTGAGACAGGGTTTCTCTGTGCAACTTTGTGCCTTTTCTGGATCTCACTCTGTAGACCAGGCTGGCCTCAAACTCACAGAGATCTACCTGCCTATGCCTCCAGTATGCTGGGATTAAAGGTGTTTGCCATCATCCTTTGGCTCTCTCACACTTCTTTAAAAATAAAATTATTCAAAATAAATACTTTATAGAAGAAGAGATTAATAATAAAACAAGGAGATATCATGAAACCAAAATCTAGAAAAGATATTGGAAACAATGTTAGTAATACTTATATTAGGAGATGTTATGACATAATTATTTGACTTAAAGCCCTATCAATAAGAGGGAAAACATGCCTGGATGTCTGGTACTGGAAACCTACCTTATAGTAGTCATAGTTTGCTGTGACATGGTCTGTATGTCAAATTACTCTGATTGGTCAATAAATAAAACACTGATTGGCCAGTGGCTAGGCAGGAAGTATAGGCGGGACTAACAGGAGAAAAGAAAGAACAGGAAGGCAGGAGGAGACACTGCCCGCCGCCACCATGACAAACAGCATGTGAAGACACGGGTAAGCCCTGAGCCACATGGCAAGGTATAGATTTATGGAAATGGATTAATTTAAGCTATAAGAAGTGTTAGCAAGAAGCCTGCCATGGCCATACAGTTTGTAAGCAATATAAGTCTCCGTGTTTACTTGGTTGGGTCTGAATGGCTGTGGGAGTGGCAGGTCACAGAGATTTGTCCTGACTGAGGGCAAGGCAAGAAAACTCTAGCTACAAATGGTGCCCAACGTGTTGCAAGAATTTCCACCTAAAACCTGAGTAAAAAGATTCTAAAACAGAGCTAAAAACGGTTCCTAGCTGTCTCTTTCAAGCTAGTGGCAGGCTGCATGTTTGAGCTACTATAGCGGTTTCCTGGTTTGTGTACTCGACCTGCAGTATGGCAGGAATGAGGCCTCTGCAAGTGGCACATTAAGCTGCATCATGGATTTAGCCTTTGCTAGTACAAAACAAAAAGAGGATTCTGGGCTACATGCAGCTTTGATAGAAGCATAGACCCACTATTTCTGAGAGTTGATGGCTCCCAGAGCTGTCAGGAAAATGTACCACTGCCATGTTGGGAAGCTGAAGTGGGCAGAACCAGCAACCACGGCTCTGTTTCAGGCTTAGAAGGCTGCAGTTTAAAGCAATAGGCTCAAGGTAATATAAAAAATAAGCTATGTAAAGATGGCTACCACACAGAGAATCTGGATAATGTTCTCTTTGATATTTTTAACTGAAGAAAATTATTTGATTGCAAAAGCTGTTGAGTTATGCCAAAATGTATATTTTAAAGGTACCTGAACTTCAAACTTTGGATGTAAGGATATGATGCTTTGGAAAGGAGGCTCTGCTTTTGTTTCCACAGAAAGCCAGAGGCTATGGATTTGTTCCAGATTAAGATATATCAGGTTTGACCAACCAAGACCCCCTGAAAGGTCTCCGCTGACACCATGGCCCAGATATCCAACATCCAGAATCAGTTCAAGGAAAATAGCTCAGATGATACAGCCTCATGGACTACTCCAAGATCCTAAAAATTTCCTTGTGTCCCAATAAGATACAGCGCCCCCTCCAGCAGGAAGTAGTAAGAGGAGCTATGCCCAAATTCCCAAATATACCAAGCTGGCCTTTTAGATGTGTAAAAGTTAAAACCTTCCTTTTTAAAAAAGGGGAAGTGCTGTGGGATGGTCTGTATGTCAAATTACTCTGATTGGTCAATAAATAAAACACTGATTGGCCAGTGGCTAGGCAGGAAGTATAGGTGGGACTAACAGAGAGGAGAAAAGAAAGAACAGGAAGGCAGGAGGAGTCACTGCCAGCCGCCACCATGACAAACAGAATGTGAAGACACCGGTAAGCCGTGAGCCACATGGCAAGGTATAGATTTATGGAAATGGATTAATTTAATCTATAAGAACAGTTATCAAGAAGCCTGCCATGGCCATACAGTTTGTAAGCAATATAAGTCTCTGTGTTTACTTGATTGGGTCTGAGCAGCTGTGGGATTGGCAGTTGACAGAGATTTGTCCTGACTGTGGGCAAGGCAGGAATA